TAAATTGAGCCTATTTTTACTGTATTTCTGTGGTGTTGGTTTTCACAGTAATCAAAGTTCCCTTTTCATATGTGTCACATGTACATCTTTTTTTTTTTTTTTAATTTTTCTTAGAGACAGGATCTCTCTGTTACACAGGCTGGAGTGCAGTGACATAATCATAGCTCACTGCAGCCTCAAACTCCTGGACAAAAGGGATCCTCCTGCCTCAGCCTCTCAACTAGCTGGGACTACACGTGTGTGCCACCACACCCAGTTAACTTTTAAATTTTTTTGTAGAGATGGGGTGTGACTATATTATCCAGGCTGGTCTCAAACTCCTGGACTCGAGTGATCTTCCCAAAGTGCTCTGATAATAGACATGGCTTTATTCTTCATTTAGATTAAAATCTAATCACGGGAAGAGACTATCAATTTTTCTTTCACTTTGATGTCTATTTTATACAACTCTAGAAAAATCTATCATTTGATGAGTTGGAGGTGACACTATGTTGGAGACATATGTAATTGGTTACCCTTTGATCATTCATAGGCAACTGTACCTAAATAATTCTTTCCTCCTGAATCAAGAAAGTTTGGTGTTTATGCAAGAGCTTAGTACAGTGCCTGGCACATATGAGGTGCTCAATAAACCTTTTAAAAATGAATACATCTGAGTGGCTTTATAATTCAGCAGGTACTACATAGACTTACTGTGCGGAAGAAAAAAAATATTAGTTCCCAAAGAGGGAAAGAATAGACCATTCTTCTGAAAAACATAAAACATTTCTTGTCCAATTGAGCCTCTCTAATATTTGTAGATAATTGGAAGCCTTTTTCACTCTTATGTTTCAGGGCGTCATTATGTACTGGTGCATTTTCTGTTTCAATGAATAGAATTATATTTGCAGGAAACTTAAAAGTTTCCAGAAAACTTCCTGCGATTTTATCTAATTAATCCCCACAAACCTCTGAGGTAGGTTGTGGAGATAGTGTTATCTCCACTTTGCAGAGAAGCAAGCAACTAGTGGAGGGGAAAAGAGAAGGGACTTTCTAATACTATGCAGCTTGTGCATATGACAGTGAGGAAGGTAGAACTGATTTCTTCTGATGACCAGTTCAGGACTTTTTCTACTGTATAAATCCTTAATCTCTAGGAAACAACCTGTCTTAACTCCCTTATCCTTGCATCAAAGCAGCAAAAGTTATACAGGAGTGCCAGCTTAGATTGTGTCTCTGAATATTTCAGCACCCTCTATCTTACCACTTCTCTTCACTTTTATTAATATTTCTAAAGTGCTCTCCCTGCAGCAGCTGACTATTCCTTCTTCCCAATTAACTTGTATGTGGAAACTCCTGTAGTAATGAAATTGCATGTGCGAGTGTCCTTTCACCTGGCTTTCTTTTTAGCGTACCTGGAGGGAGAAAGCTTTTCTGCTGTTTCATTGCATTATCTTTGCTGAGGGAGGAACTTCTAGGTAGTTATCTATTAGGATAGATGGATAACTTAATAGATAACTGCCTTCCTGAGAGTAAATCTTTTTATCAAACCTTCTTTGTTTTAGGTACAGCTTTGGTATTTGCAGAGGTTACCACTTGTTGATAATTACGATGCCACCAGCAGCAAAGCAGTGTGGCAGAGTAGACAAAAACATGGATGTTACAGGCAGACAAATCACGTTGGAATCCTTGTTCTGCTATTTCCTGGGCAATCTACTTTACTTCTTGAAGCTGATTTCTTCTTTTGTGCAGTGGGGATAATAGATTAATAATATCTACCTCATAGGGTTATTAGAAGAATTAAAGGTAAATGGTAGATATTTTCCTTAGGATGAATGAGGTGGCAAACAAATGTAATCCTCTCCATAGACTGCAGAGCACATTTGTGTGGAATATTTTCTATTTCCCATCCATTTCCACTCTTCTCCCTGCCCTACCCTAGGAGGGTTTTTGCCCTGGAAGGCTAACCAGTAAGATGCACGTCATTCTCCTTTGCCCTCTGGCTTACTTGCATTTGGCCAGTGGGGAGTCCTGGCAGGAGATCAGAGGGAGGAAGATGAGATTGTGTGTATCTCCTCATCACCTTCCTTTCAAAGTCACCTGAGGCTAACTATGTCCCAGAGAGCAACCTCCCTTGTCAAGGCAGCCCACTCTGCATGACTCTCTCCTCTTAGGTATTGGCAACCTCTATTTGTCCCTTTGGGTCTAGTAGGGTAAAAATTCCACCATTGCTATTATAGCTCCAGGTAGTATACCATCTTTTGTGGATTCCTCTACCCTGCCTTCATCTTTTTAGTCTTTTTATTGAACCCTCCTTAAATGATCCTGCTGTTTATTCCTGGGACCCTAGCTGATACATTATTCATGCTGCTTAGTGGAAAGTGTATTTGCCTAAGTATATTTTATTTGATGGAGTTTAACACTTTTAAGAAAAAAAATAAGAATAGTTGTTACTTGCCATTTTATACTAAGAGAAGAGAAAGGTAGTAATGATGAAGGATGATGGATATTGTGAGTCAAGCATCTCCTGTATGCCAACTATTTTCCCAAATACTACTTTATGTACATTACCTCAGTTAAGCTCAAAACACACATGTGTATTATTACTTCCCTTTTGCAGATCTCGAAAAAGCTCAGAGAGGTCAAATAAGTTACCTAAAGCTTCACAGAATACCAGTGGAGAGCTGAAATTCTAACTTATGCCTGTTTGGTTCCAAGGTCCATAATCTTTTAGGGAGGCCAGACTGCCTCCTGGGTATACAGGCTGGAAAAAGCCATCCTGTTAACAGGTTTCAATTAAATCCATTTGCCTATTCAAATTTCTATAGGTTCTAAATTCCTATGGGAGAGTATCTCTTAATGGTGCCCTTTAAATGATTTTAAGGCATATTTGTTGAAAACCTGATTAATTCAGCAGACTTTATTAGGTCTGATTAATTCAGCAGACTTTATTAGGTCAAATCCATTATTTGACTGATTTGTTACCATTGAGTCAGTAGCCAATGAGGGGCAACTATTCTATGGTTATTCCTAAAGCTATTTGTTAAATACTAAATGAATAATTAAATATTTTGAATGAGTTTTTCTCTGATAATGAGTAAGCTTCCTATAGCAGTTATCTAGGGAATTTTTTTCTCCTTAAGTATAGTGTATTTAGTTCACAGTTTATATTATTTCTGTCGACTTCTTAAATGAGTGACATAATTCCACATTTTCTAAGACCTATAAAATGCTCAGCATTATAACTAATCTGTAAAGGTGGCTGAATTTCTGGAGGTGTACCAGCTGAGCACTTTCCATTTGTGAATCATCTCCTCTCTCCAAATGCTACTCCCTTAAAAAAACAAACAAACAAACAAACAAACAACCACACAAACAAAACCAATCTGTACACACTCAAAGAAACTGTATTTAAAGTAACTGTATTTATTCCAGCAACTCATATTTGATTGTGCATTTTTCTTTACCCTTCAGGCAAGCATTTTCATCAACCTTGGAGAAAGGCTTTGTCCCTCGGTTCCCTCTGGATCTCCAAGTTGCTTCTCAAGACATTCTTAGTGATAATAAACTTCATTTATCTGTTTCTAGCTCCACCTCACTGTTGTGAGACCTCCGGCCTCCCTAAAACTATCTTCATTTCATTTTTAGAAATCTTGAGGGGCCGACTCACATATATCCCAAAGAAGTCTTTTCAGCCTTGAGAAAATGCCATTGCGGATTGCTGGAGAGCTTGGAGAAGGTCTCTCTCCACTGGTATAGGGTCCTGGGTTCTCTTGCTGCAGGTGGCTGGCCTCTTACTGGGCCAGCTGTCAGCTGATGCTGTGTTCCCTGCAGGCTTTACCACTTTTGTATGCTTTTTTTCCAAAAGTGTATATAGTTATTTTGTTTTATTTATTTTTAAAATGTATAATTCACAGTACTTTGTACTTTGATATTTTTCAATCATTTTAGCAAAACCAGCTCCTTTAGATCTTGATCACTATTATTCTTTTCTCCAAACTTCAGACACAAGTTTTTTGAGAAGCTTAGAACAAACCCGAATGATAGAATTACATGTCGTTGTTAGCATCCGCCTACACCTACAATGTCAGAGTTTTTGTGTTTTGGTTAAGCTTGTTTGCCTAATCCTCTCCCCCTGTTGGTAAGTTCTTTTACAAAAGGCATTTCAGCCCACATGCAAATATACCGTATGAATATGCAAGTGATGTCCAGATGTGGCAGAATATCAGAAATGAACACAACACGTATAGCTATTTGATTTGATTTTTTCTCAAAACTCAAAACAGAGAATCTCCATTCTAGTGTTTAGTAGAAAGTAAAAGTTAGGTAATGAGGTTATTGATATCACTGAAGTGGCAATTACTCTGGAATAGTCTGTGAAATGACTGTGATTGCTTAACTAGGTAAACTGTTTCCCTTCCACTTCTCTCAAGCATCCCTTACAACCTCTTTGAACTAAAAGTAGGAGAGCTCACTAAATTTACCTAAAAGTGACTGGATTGGCTGCAGTGTACTGTGGATTATTACTCATAATTATTATTACAAATAATTATTATTATTTGCTGAAACCAGAGGCCAAGTTGCAGTGCTCAGAGGGCTCTTCCCTTCAGATGCAGATGTGATCCTCCCAGTGGTAAAGCTACCTTAGTGATCCCTTAGTGAAAAATTGAGGGGTCCATAGTGAGAATCAACATATACATGATTCAGTTTGCATCATTTCATATGTGTAACTTTAGGTTATGGCTACCATACCTATCTTTTTTTTTTTTTTTTCCAGCCACTAAAACTGTAGACTTGAATATTTAATGGAAGACAGATGGCGCTTGAAATCTCTAACCTACATTTAACAAAAGTTGTTTTGGAAATGTTGCTTGTGTGTACTTTTTTTGCTTTAAATACAGTACCATTTTAGCCTGTTCTGGTGAATTATTTAAGAATTACTGTCCTAGTCTAAGACAGCATTTCGAAGTGCACGTGTTAATCATATACTTGATTAAACATTTCCTTTTCTTTCTTTTCAGCATTCCAGTTGGCTTTTGAGTGGATAATTGTTGCAGTGACAGCATTGACGTTGGAAGCAACCAGTGCCCGTTTGAATTACATACAACGCCACGATGAAAAGAAATACCTGTGATTCGCTTTCCCGGAGCAAAAGTGTAAGTACCTCTTGTTTTCCTTTCTTTTCTAAAACTGCGTATGTATAACTTTTTACTGTTTACTTTGGATTTTAATACTGTGGTATCATGATTAGGCTTGTGAGAAACCTTTGGTTGACTTTCAGTTCTCTGGCTGAATGCAGCTTGTTAACAAATGAAGACTTGTCTCTGTGGCCTGGTTGGCATTTGATGAGAGTTCTCTTTCAGCCAGTTTACACACTTTATCATTCCTTCATATAAGCCTACTGGCATGACATTAAACACTCTGATTTTTTAATGCATGCAGAAAATATCTGATTAGAAGATGAAATTGGACAAATTTGTGCCTTGAATGTGAAACTTTCTGGGCAAGTCCAAAAACATAAATTGAACTTATGTCATTAAGTATTTCAACTGGTCACATTCTGAAAGTTCATCCCTTTCACGAGCTTTCTACCCTGGCGTATGTCTATAATCTCCCCTTTAATCTTCCTTTAAAACATTTTTAAGTGAACATCCTCATGCCTTCTTTCCAATTACCTAGTATTCTAAAAGTACCAAATTCATGAAAAATTTTAGATTTTGATTAACTTATGAAAGAAAGCATAATCAAATGGAGCAACTCAAAGGAAGCTACAAAAGGCAAGGATGAAAGCAGACTGTTAATTTCCATCAGGCAAGCTCTAAAAACAAATCCCTTTGTTCATTTACCCAAAGGGGAAAAGGCATCCAAACAGATGTAGTTGTGACGTAGGAACATTCATTTGAAGGCATAAAAAAAAAAAAAAAACACAAATGCAAACAAATTTCTCCAGTATGGGAATGCTTTGTGTTACAGCCAGTGATTCTATTGTGATGACCCAAGGCCATTTTCATTCTTTCTATAGAATTACATCCAGCTTTTAAGGGTGGGACATGAATATGTAGGGAGAAAAGTATAGTATGCCCAATAGGGTTTCTTAAAAAATGAGGATATACTGAGAGGTATGTCCATACTTGGATTGATACTGTGTTTAATAACCAATCAAGTAAATTCAACAAACTCTGAGGAAATGTTCAAATTCATTTGTTTTCCTGGTTGGTGTTTGGTTGTGGAGATAATTGTGTAAAATAAAGGGCCCTGGCTTTTAGCCTAGAATTCCTTTTATCGCCCTACAAAGTTGCTCATTGTCATAGGAAGTGACCTGCATACAAATCACCAAACTGCAAATACATCTTTCTGTTACTGTTTTCTTATTATAAATTACATATAAAAACAAACTATTATATGATGTTTCCTTCTTTTACTGAATTTCTGAAACATGTGATATGAGAAAAAATGTATAAAGGCAAAAGAGAGAATATTTTGGATAATTAAAAATATATCATTAAACATTCCCCTGTTCTTGGAGAAAAACATTCTAAAAGCAAATTATTAACTGAGAGGTGACTTTAAGGAACTGCATGTACTTCATGATGCTAGGAGATTTCCTATTTGCATTTGTTTAATACAAAATTTTTCATCTAGGTGGAGAGGCTCAAGCTTCCAGATTAAGAGAACCTGAGTTGCTTACATTTGTCCAAATGTAAACATTACAGCTCTCATTTCACTGCTTCCTAGCTTCTTGAAAATCCAATGGCATAAAGAAAGTGCTTCCACTTAATTAAATGACTCTGAACAGGAGTTACTGTTTATCAGGAAAAAAAAGAGCCAGATTTTTTGCCTAGTTAGAAGTTGTCACTTTAAGTCTTCAAAAATTTATTTTGCACGGGTCTAAGCATGCCACCCCCTACCACTTAAGTCTTTGCCAATAACAGAATCCAAAATTGTACAGTTAGAAGTAGATTTTTCCTGTTCTTGATGAAGAAAATTTAAAGAATTAATTTGATTTAGAATCTGAGGATGTTTTTCTTTGGCATTGTGACATTTGAAAATTCAAAGAGAATATTCTAAATGTTAAAACAGTTTCTGTCACTCCCTACGTGCCTCTCTGTAGGTCTTGTATCTGTCATTGTGAAAATTTAAGTCATACAAAGAAGTAGGAAAAAAAGACTATCTTTATTTTTTTCTAATTTTAAAAATTTTTTAATTATTATGGGTACATAACAGTTGCATATCTTTACAGCATTCATGTGATGTTTTGATATAAGCATACATTGTGAACTAATCATATCAGGGTAATCAGGGTATCCTCACCTCAGGCATCATTTCTTTGTGTTAGGATCCTTCCAATTGCACTCTTTTAGTTATTTCGAAGTATACCCTAACTTATTGTTTATTACAGTCACTTTGTGGTGGTATGAAATATTGTTCACTCTATCTAACTATATTTTTACACCCATTAACCATACCCACTTTATCCCTTCTCCCTGTTGCCCTTCCCAGCAACCATCATTCTGCTCTCTGAAAAGACCATCGTTAAACAATTACCTTATTCAATGAGTTCTCCTTGGGAGAGGGGTTCCAGTGTAGCTTGCAAGATCATTTAGCCAATCTCCATCTCATGTAAAAGATTCAGGCATAAGATGGATGGTTAAAATAGGTTAGAGTTCTGTTTCCTACCAGTTATGAGTTTCTGTGATTCTAGGTCATGTTGTACTCATTCATAAATTGAATTGAAGACCAGTTCCCAAATAAATATAAAATGAAGGCCTTGGGGCAAAGAAGAGTATATTAGTCAGCTTGGGCTACCACAGACTAGGTAGCTTAAACAGAAATTTACATTATCACAGTTCTGGAAGGCAGAGGGTCCAAGATCAAGGTGGCAGCCAATTCAGTGCCTGGGAAGGACTGATTTCTGGCTGGCTGACGGCTTGCAGATGGCCACCTTCTCACTGCGTCCTCATATGGCAGAAAGACAGAGCAAACTCTCTGATACCTCTTCTTATAAAGTCACCAACCCCATCATGAGGACCCCACCTTCATGATTTCATTTAACCCTAACTACATCCCAAAGGCCCCACCTCCAAATACTGTCACATTGGGGATTGGGTCTTCAACATATGAATTTTGGAAGGGACACAAACAGTCCATAACAGAGAGTTTGATGTTCTTTAGGGATGATTTTATTAAGTCCCTTTGATATTTAAGCCCAAAAGGTGGTGACCAGTAATCTAGAATCTGCATATTCTCTCAATCAGATAACACTGAAAATTATCTGGTTAACATCTTTCTGTTCATTTCATATTTTCTGTATTTTATGTTAAGGGAACTCTTAATGATGAATTTTGAGGCTTTAATCATCTCTTCATAGACCTAGGGGCTAACTTTAATTTTACTCAAAATTATTTTCTTCTTCCTTCACTCTTCTTAGTTTGCTTATCTTATATTGTTTGTTCTTAACATTCAATCCAATGACACAAATCTCTCAAGTACCTTGTCTTATCTGTGGACTTACCAGTTGAGCCACCTTTTTTAGAGGTTTGTAAGTTTCAGTCCTATCTGAGCCACCCTCATTCCCTCTACAAATGCCCACTGTCCCATTGCTTTTTGGCTTGTCAGGGGAAGAAAGGAAAGGTACATACAAAAGGACAGAATGTAAAAATTTCTATGGCAATAGTATATTTTAAAAATTGGGGCTACTTAAAATTTTTTTAAGTAACTTTCCTTACAGTGTCTCTGTTGTTATTTTCCAAACTCATGAATTTTGATAAATCTTCTCATCTGGAGAATGAACTGGATACATTTTAATTCTTCTTCATTAACAATTCTCTTGTGTATTGAATTCTAAAGTATTTTGTAGTCTTTTACATTAAATTCCCGATTTCCCAGTACACTGAATAATTTTCTTTCTACCAGTTTAGAGAGATTCAAGATACTGTCTACTCAATTGAATTTGTTATTTTCTTGATGAAATTGCCCTCTATTTGACATAGAATTCTTTTGGATGTTCTACATTTGGATAAATTTGTCACTCACCAGATGTCTTTAATTGATGTTCCCTGTTCTTTTTTGATAGAATTGTTATTTAGTGCTTATTCAAAACTGGAAGCAAGTCTTGGTTGTTTGAAGGGCACAGGGTATCTGGCAAATTCTTTTCATGTTAAATTTAAAGCCCACCTAAATAGGCTGTCAGTTTTGAATCCAGGAGCTAGGAGCCCATCTGGTGAAATATTTCCAGCAGGCTCCCTAGAATTGCTTCTTTTCACACAAGACTTATTTAATGTCCAAAGTTTGTAAACCAAATTTATCTTATTCTTTAAAAAAGTAAATGTTTGTAGGTGTACCTTTACATTGCTGAGATTTTATAAGGAATCACTTTCCTAATAACCAGGGTGAGTAAATTGTGCCATTTCATCTGTATTTCAGTGCCTGCCTGGAGAGGGCAGACCAAGAAGGAATTTGGAAGGGATGATGCATTTTGTTATGGCACTTCAGAGCTATCTGCATTTATTACTCAGTAAGGTAGACTATTTTTGGTTTTGTGGTTAAAGTAAAAATAATGAATCACTTCCCAGGCCAGCCTCATTTCCCTACTATATCCATCACTACCTAAGCTACAACAAAGTCGTCACAGCTTGGAATCCTGGTACAGTTAGGCATGTAGAAACTGGATTTTTCACTTGTGTTCCCTTAGAAGGGTCCAAAGGTCAGAGGAGATACTTTCAAAAGCACAAAGTACAAAGAAAAACTAAAATGTGTTTGCTTGTGTCTTTATTAGCAACACATTGAAATAAGAACTTGTAGTTTTAGAGATTTCACTCTTTTGATCATTATACCTGCCTTCCAGCTCATGCTCTTTCCTTACAAAATTCAACAAATGTTTATTGAATGGCTACTGTGTGTGTGTTAGGCTCTGGGCATCCAATGTGGCTAAAATACATGTCATCTCTACCCTTCTAGAGCATATTTGACAACTAAATTTATAATTTTTATAATTTATTAAAATTTTTTCACCACCCTGTTACCCTAACCTAACTTGATCACCCAAGTCTATCCCATTTTAATCTTTAATTTTTTCTTCACAGGAAGACTGAAGTCTTGTCTCTCAAATCTCTATGTACTTGCACTTCATCACACTGTGGGTGTCCTATTTGGTAGA